TTAGAGCTGTTAGCTTAAAATTAGCTAGACATTAAATGCACATTAAATAACTATTGTAGGCCTATAAGTCCTACTGTTGCCCACAGTACAATGCCACGATTTCCTTATTTCGACAACAGAAAAACTTTTCCCAATGTGCTAAACAGACCTAATACTTAGAATAGATAAAAAGATAGTAGCTAAGGTGTTTAAAGAATAGTAGGCTTAGCTCCTACTATTAGATGTTACTATCTTCTTAGATAGCTCTAAACAGTACACAAAGGAAGGAGCAAAGTAGGTTTCCTATAGCTTTGCAATGTATTAGGGTAGAAAACAACTACAGACTAGACATAGATTACTCTACCCTACCTTACACGTCTTTAACGTAGAAGCAGTAGGAGCATGGAGGGGCCTCTAGCACACTATAAGACAACTAGCCCTTAACACTCGCTGAATCTAGCTGTGTATAGAGAGCACCTCAGTTATATAGTGCCTAAAGGGCAGCGCATCCCCTACCTCTTAATAGGCCTTCCTAGAGTGCCATGGTGCTATAGAGACACACGACGTCTCTGTTAAATGGGCCTCTAGACATCTAGGCATTGAAGGAAACAAAGCGGCTAATAGGCTAGCATAGGCTGGCGGATGGGTAGGGTATGCTTTTTTACGTTTTGGCTTATAGCTTCTTAACTAGCAGAGATACGCTTACATAATCTATTATTTGATAGAAGCGCCTAGTATTGCGCCTTCTAATAAAAAAAGAATTAGCTTATTCTACCTAGTATTAGCTAAGTTATTAACACTACCTAGCAAAGTATACCTATTAATAGGTATGCTCGCTAGGTACCCCCCCTTTTTTAACCTTTTCTAGCCTCTAGCTTGTGTAGTTTAATAGTTATAATAAAATCCTCTACTACAGAAATATAGAGGTAGTTTTTCTCTTTCTTTTAAGCCCTATTTTGCTAGAATCCATGTATTATTGACAAAGTTTTAGGGGGTACCCACGAAGGACGTTGGAGTATACCCATTCCGCCAGCCTACACCCTACCTCACACGTCTTTAACGCGGAAGCAGTAGGAGCATAGAGGGGCCTCTAGCACACTATAAGACAACTAGCCCTTAACACTCGCCGAATCTGGCTGTGCATAGACAGCACCTTAGTTATATGGTGCCTAAAGGGCAGCGCATCCCCTACCTCTCAATAGGCCTTCCTGGAGTGCTATAGTGCTATAGAGACACACAACGTCTCTGTCAAATAGGCCCCTGGACATCTAGGTATTGAAGGAAACAAAGCGGCTGATAGGCTAGCAAACCTTAAAGCCTACTACCTATCACTCCCTACTAGAAAGGCTGCTGTTCCTATACTAGCAGGCATTAAATCTATTGCTCGCAAAACATTGCACGACACACAGCAGACCTGGTAGTCTAAGAAGGAAGAAGCCTCTCTATATAGTATAGAAGATAGGAGCTAGGCTACTTACTTTACAGCAGACTACGTGAATTAGACCTACTAAGAGCTACCCTAGCTAGACTGCTCTTAATTTAATCTATGCACAGTAACTTTGCGTAGTACTACTAAAAGTTTAGCCACAACAACACAATACTTACCTGTTTATGCAGACGCAACAAGATGCTAGAGCACCTTACGCTCTGCTGCAAGACCCTAGGAGCCTTTGGCTAATAGCCACTTTAATCACCTATACTACTATCTAGCTAGAACAATGGCCTAGCGTATACTGCTGCGCTAATTAGGGATCTAGAGGCTTTTGAAGCCTTTGTCCAACTCACACAGTACTACACCAAGGTCTACCCCTAGTAGCTCACCCTGTGCTGCAACAGCAGCAAACAACTGTACTCTTTCCTTACTCTCCTTCTGTCGCAGCAAGGATCGAGGTGAGGGTACATATCACGTGATCCGCATCTGGATATTGGACCGATCAGACACTGGCGATCTATCACGCCATGGTGAGCGGAATCGGGTATAGCTTGGAGCCGTGATTAGGGCTCCAATTAGGGTATAGCTGGATGAGCATTGGTGTATATATTCTGCTCATTCAGCACCGTAGATAGAACAAGGAACTTGATCACTTTCTTCACACTTGATCAACGATCAGAGACCACTCAGCTTCCACAGTTATGAGCCCGGCGTAAGAAGACTACACAGTTGATATTCCCTGCGTACTCTAAGCTGAGTGCATCTGATCCGAGATCATCTTCTCCACAATCTTTTCTCCAAAATCCTCAAAAATGGATTACGAAAACACCACTGTGGCTTCTGGCCAAATCCTGCTAAATAACCGATCGGATTGGCCGTATTGGTTTGCTCAGCTAGAGCTTCACGCTCGCGATACAGCAATCTGGGATCAAATTGATCCAGAGGCTGAAACTGTACCACCGATCGATGAGCAGGAACCAGAATACCCAGAACTTCCACCCAAGCCTCTGCAAGAAGGTACTCCCTCAGAGATTGATGATTTGGACGACTTGGGCAATCAAACCCAACGTATGACGCAGGAGTACTACGATCAAGCAGTCCAAGATCACCCTGAGGCAGTGCGGAAGTACAAGGTGGCCACATCCAAATGGACACGCAATGCCGCCAAGCTAAGCAATATCCGGAACTGGATCAACAAAACGGTATCAGCCGATCTCATGGCCCCTGCCTCGATTAAATTGCTCAACTCTCGGCAATCGACTCTCCAAGCCCTGATCAGAGTCTTGAAGGCCGATCTTGCACCAATGAGTAGTAATACTCAGAACCTTGTAAGGCAGCAATATCGCGCTCACCTGGAAAAATCCCGATCAGGACGCGTTTCACCAGACAAATGGTTTAATGAGTGGCAGGTGCTCTATGGAAAAGCACAGGCATTTGGTATCCTGGATATCGAAGGAGATCTTGCTCTTACAGATTTCCTGAATGCTGTTTCTCATAGGATCGCTCCTGAATGGGCCTGATCAATGAGGCAGCATATTCTTATAGAATCAGCCCTTGGCAGGGCTAATCTTAAGATGGGAGATCTTGCCCGTATCTTTACACTACTTCTTCAAGAACAAGCAATAACCTCAAACGTAGGGAAAGGTGCCCTAGTCAACGCAACGTTCAGCGGATCGTCAGATCAGCAGGAAACTTACAGAGGCCAATCTAGAAGAAATACAGATAAGAAGAAGAAGAAGTGCCCATGCAAGCCTAACGGATTACACTTCTGGGACCCTATAGCCTGCAATCGGCTATACACAGCAATCACTGGATCAACATCAGAAAAGGCTCTAAGGACTGCACTATCTAACTTTAATAAGCAGAAGATTAAGGAAAGATACAACAGTCATGCTTGGGCAAGCCTACGCAACATGATCAGTGACTCAGGATGGAAGGTCTCAGGATTGACGACACCCTCCGGATTGTCCGGAACTTCCGGATGATCTGCAGAAGGACCAAAATCGGCCAAATTCCCCGGAGCAATCTCCGCAGCCGTGATCGACCCTACTCAACTCCAGATACAGGATGGCGGTGTGTACAGTATCACGTACTCCGCTCATCCACTGGCCTTGAGCACGATCCTAGATGGTGGCGGAGCAATACACTTGGTCAATGATCGAAGAATGCTTGTACCTGGAACGTTCAAAGAATCATCTACTTGTGAGACAGTAGAAGCAGGTACTCAATCGCTTCTAGTATCTGGAACAGGTGATCGCTTGCTTAAAGGAATACTCAACGGGAACAAAGGACCTAGATCAGAGGACCTGTTGCTCAGAAACGTTAAGGTTGTTGATGGTTTCCATCTTAACATCGTATCTGAAGCTCAACTCAAGAAGGCAGGCCTCTGGTACCTAGGATTGGACAGCACACTTCGATATGGATCACTAGAGGACAACGTGATCATGGCCAAACTTCACTGTGCTCATAACCTTACCTTCATCGAATACAACAAGGTTTCATCTTATCCTCAAAATCCTACAAATGTGATAGCTGAGGCAAGATCATCAATTCCCCAATCTAGAGCAGACTCAGAGGACCTTTGGCACAAACGATCAGGACACCTTGGGCCAAGAGCGCTTCAAGCTCTCGCTCAAGCAGCACAAAACGTTCAGATCAAAGGCACGAAACGAATAGAGTGTCCTGATTGCTCTACAGCACACGCCAGCCAAGTGATCTCTAGAAGACCAAGGGAAAGATCGCCAAAACCTTTTTATCGGATATCATGGGATTTATTCGATATGCCTTCAGGAAGGCTTCATGAAGAATGGGCATTGATCATCAAAGAGGAATACTCAGGCAAGCTTTTCAATCACAATCTCTATACTAAATCTTTGGATGAGATTATGAGAGTGATTGAAGGATTTGAAGCCAGAGTTTGGAGAAAGTACTAACTGCATATCGTAGAGATCCAACAGGATAACGATACTGCAACACGTCCCTGGAGAGGACGATCACGCTACGAAGAATGGGCAGAAGAGAAGGGGATCACTATACTCACGCCACCACCATACACTCATGAGCCGAATGGATTAGCAGAAAGAGCTGGCTAGGAGTTGATCACGAAATTTATCAAGATAAGATCAAGCGCCAACCTACCGGCTAAGTTGTGGCCTGAGATCATGAACGCGGCAGCATATCTTCATAGTATAAGTCCATCAGCAATACATGGTTTCTGATCCCCAAATGAAGTCCTTAATCACTAGTTTTATCAGTACTTTAGATGGTACGAACTAGCTCTGATTAGACAAAGGACAGCAGATCTTCGCCCAGATTAGAGTGGCATATACGCTTATGGCTGCAGAGCGTATCCCTTAGACAAGGATCGCGCAGCAGGGCGTGATAAACGAGGATTTAAAGTTAATCCGCGTGGGCACATTGGATACTTGATTGGATATCGAGCATCAAACATATACGTTATATGGGTGCCCTCTGTTGATCAGGTAATCATCACTAGGAACGTATCCTTTAACGAAACAAGCTTCTATCAAAATAAGAAAGAGGAAGAAATGCCAAAGGAGCAAGCGATCAAGCTTGTAGACGTACTCCACAATGGAGAACTAGATGATCCAGGACAGGATATTGATATACCCTTACTAGAGGATCAACAAGAGCTAGTCCAACAAAGCCAATCGGCCGCCGGGCAAAAGCCTGGGGGTGAGCTACTTACACCAAGTGATCCAGAGGCTGGCCTGCCCTGTGATCAGGAGGGTGAGCAAGCAGACAGTGTACGGGGTACAAGCCAGGCCAGCAAGTACCCGGATATCCGTACAGACCGATCGGACGATTTTGGACTAGCTACTCCTGAACCAACACCTGAGCCGATTGATTCCGGATCAGGTGTACAGGAGATGGACGATCATACAGATCGTATGGAGACAGACAGTCAACAGGAATCGCGTACACCTGTTAGAGCTGATTCGTCTAGTCTCAGTGATCGGTTAGGATCACAGGGGTTGATGCTGGAGCGCTCAACCCACCAGGGATCAATGCTGGAGCGCTTGTCCAACCGTGCCTCTCGATCCGGCGGTGTTGCTTCTGCTACGCCGGGCGAAGCAAGGAATACCCCACCCACAAGATCAAGCCGCAGACTGAGAGGAGTAGCACCAGAGGTCGATCGGCCTATTAATGTCTACCAACCACTCAGGCGGAAACGACGAGATCGTGACGATCAAATGGGGGGTGGGTCTTTAGGAAGTGTTAACAGTTTGATCGCAGATCTGTTAGATGGCAATGATCAATGGAATGCGATTAAAAACACTTTCCTCCCAGGAACTAGAGAAGACTGGGACGATCGGGATAGCTACAAGACTATGAACGCTATAGTCATGTCAGCAATGCTCAGTGATCACGTCAACCACAAGAAGCAGATATCAGGAATACACAGGGACGATATGCCTGAGCCACCAAAAACCTGGAAACAACTGTTACAGCATCCGCTCAAAGCCCTGTTGATTGATGCTTCGAAGAAGGAGGTTGATCAGTTGATCAAGAAAGGTACCTGGACTGAGATAACTATATCAGAAACCTCTGATCGGCCACTGCCCCTCAAGTGGGTATGGACCTACAAGTTTGATCAGAACGGGTACTTCACGAAATGTAAAGCAAGGATTGTTGTAAGGGGTGATCTCCAGGAGATTAACACCCTAAACTCAACATACGCTGCTACTCTAGCAGCAAGATCATTCAGAGCAGTAATGGCGATTGCTGCTCAGTTCGACCTAGAGGTACTCCAGTACGACGTTGTTGGAGCGTTCCTCAACGCCATGATCACCAGCGAACACCCAGTAGTTTGTGATATGCCAGATGGATTCAAGAAACCCGGATTGTACGTACGGCTTAACCGAGCCCTGTATGGACTGAGGGAATCACCACTTCTTTGGTATGAGGAGTTCTCCAGATCACTGCGATCCTTGGGACTAGAATCCAGCAAAGAGGAACCATGCCTGTTCTTTGACGCTGATCGGAAGATTCTAGTACTGTTTTATGTGGATGATATATTGCTTATCTACCACAAGACCAACGAAAAAGAAGCTCACAAGCTTTGGAGCAAGATCATGGAGAAATACGAAATACAGGACCAAGGAGAAATTGAGTGGTTCCTTGGGATAAGAGTTATCCGCAACCGACACGAGCGTACAATCAACCTAGTACACGACACCTACATTGATAAGATCACTAAGAAATTTGGCCTAGAAGACGGATCATATCC